GGTAGTGGAGAGTACCCGTGTGTCGCAGTCCGCGCGGGAGCCCTAACTGAGGCTGACTGCACCGACCCTTGTGGAGTTCTTGGCTCGTTCTGTGCGACAAAGTTCGTGTTTTCTCGGTGTTATCTGGTTTGACGTTAGAAGGAACAAGTGTTGCGTGGGTTACGATTTTTACTCATGAATTTACTGAAGGAGAACGACATTACCCTTTGAAAACGGCGGAAAAAATGGAAAGTTATCTCTGAATGCACCATGTTCGCAACTTTGACCTGTGGATAAAATGCGCCTGTCAACATGTGTTGAGTGAATAATTCATCGGCAGTCCACATCAGTGACTTTACCAATATGGATTTTATCATTCAAAAGGTAAGCTACAATTTATTGCGAGACGGATAAAGTTTTATGAATAAAACTTCACCCAACTTTTTCTTCTGCCTGCACGGGGAGCCTTTCATAATTCCGGTCGCCGACTGTCAGCTTCCCCCGATACTTGCATTTCCTCTGCAATGACACCTTCGCCCAGCCTTCACCTGGCGCGTGTCGAGGGCTACTCCGAAAATGGAATGGACAATCGGCTCCTTTTACACACCAGTTCACCCTCGACTATTTTTTCCACTTCCATTTCACACTGCATTTAGTCGGTACATTTGAGGTCCCATCATTAATGGCCAAGAACCGCCGTGCTAGACCAAAAATTCCGCACATGTGAAAAAAAGGCCCCGCCGCCCCATAAGGCGTATCGGACGAGGATCTCCGTAACCAGTTTGGCGGCGAGGCTGGACCCGTGACAGGAGGAGGAGGAGGAGGACTCTGGCGGAGGAGGAGGAGGAGGAGGAGGAGGAGGAAGAAGAAGAAGAAGAAGAAGAAGAAGAAGAAGAAGAAGAAGAAGAAGAAGAAGAAGAAGAAGAAGAAGAAGAAGAAGAAGAGTAGGAGAGGAGGAGGAGGATGAGGAAGAAGAAAAGTAGGAGGAGGTGGACTCTGGCTGAGGAAGAGGAGGAAGAGAAGTAAGGATAGGAGGAGGAGGAGGAGGAGGAGGAGGAAGAAGAAGAGTAGGAGCAGGAGGAGGAGGACTCGCGGGGGTGCAAGGAAGGACTTCGCACTCGCTCGCCTATTCCAATCTGCTTGAATGTCTGTCTGTCTGTTTGTTTGTCTGTCCCTTTCTGTTCCTGTGTGTCTCATTTCCTATTTATTTCTGGTCATTCTCTCTCTCTCTCTCTCTCTCTCTCTCTCTCTCTCTCTCTCTCTCTCTCTCTCTCTCTCTCTCTCTCTCTCTCTCTCTCTCTCTCTCTCTCTCTCTCTCTCTCCCTTTCTCTTTCTCTTTCTTCTCCTTCTCTTTCTTTCAATTCCATTCCTTTTGAACCCCTTTGCATTTTCGAAGCCTGAGCAGAGAGACTTTGTGCTCGGAGGAAAACATGTTCTCCGGATTGAACTTTTTCATAGTGGTGTTCGGATCTTTTTTATTTATTTGTTTATAATTTCCTTGATTAATCTATTTAACAGCTTCTTGCGCGGCATTGTTGATTTTAAATATTTTGGACTTTTGGGTAAAAAATATGGAAACGCCCCTAAAAAAATATAAAACAACAAATATTGTAGTTCGATGGAGTGGCTTCTGATGGCGAATGGTAACGCAGCTCTGAAAAGACGTAAGCTTGTGACGTTGAATTGGCTCAGTGGATTCGTGCCTTATGCTGACTTCAATTGCTCCGCCTAACATAACGGGCAGTGCATTATTGCAATTTATAGGCCTGTCACACACTTTTTTTTTGTAATTGTGTGTTTTCATTGATAATCGTTATGGCAGACACATACAATGGCTTTATATTTAGCCTGTTTTTCCAGTTAGTTTTTTTCTTCTGTTTATTGCATGGGACAGCATTGCAAACATTATTAGCCCTCTTGAACATACGACCGTACACGCTGTTTTGTAATGCCATTTCAGAACGGTGCAAAAAGTCGTTCCTGTTGTTTTAATGTTAGTTTTATGTAATGTTTCATGGGAGTCACCATTATATAATGTTGCACGCGAGTTTTGTCCATTTTTTTTGCTGACCCTTCGGTTTATACAGATTACATAAAGCGAGTTTTTTGTTTAGTATCTTTCTATGGGAATGGCTGCTTTTAACCTAGCTCTTTCAGACGGGAAAACAGTCTGTGGCCTTCAACTTGAGAAACTGTGCCTGGCAGAAAGAGTCGGTCGCGTCGCTCATGATCGCCGCGAGAAGCTGCACAGAACCCTTTAACATTCAGCCGTATCGCCCTGATATGTTGAGCTCTATAGATGTCGTAAAATAATGACCTTAAGCTGGAGTTTTATGGTGGTGAGATATGCAGATGTACCTGGGTGGCGGAGCAGCCCTCGACGCGGAGGGAGTGAGAAGAAAGTGGGAGATGGGGACAGGGTGGGAGAAAGAGGAAAAGGAGGAGGAATTGAAAGAGAGGGACAAAGAGTGGGAGAAGTGAGATAAGGGGAGGGAGAAGGAATGGGAGAGAAACAAGAGGG